TCTTCCTGATCATAAGATAGATTCATCAGAGCCTTAAATAGCTGATTCTGGGGATGAAATGCAAACTCCTCTTCAGGGTCGCTCTGAGTGACTACAGTAGCCTAGCACAGTAATTAGATATTGGATGCTGCTGAGCACTGAAGCAATGCCTAACTTTAGGAACACTCTTAAATCCACACCTACTCCACAAGGCATTTAATAATATTCTTAAACAGTGCTAAATCCTATGGAGCTTTGCAGACAAACATTTTCATACACTCCTTGCTCATTTGGCACCTAGAAGAAACAGAAATTACCTGGAAAGCAGACAGTGCAGGGACTGAGTTATTTACCATTTTTTTGCCTTACTTCAAGTGAGTAGATTATTTTTTAAAATCCTGTTAATGAGTTCTTTTCTTGTTTGTGTTTAATATTTATTCTGTGCATTCTGATAGTCACTTGTCATTTCATCTCATACTAAATGAAGAAGTTTCATATGGAATTATCTTTTGCTTTTGTGTTAAACAAAACCCCAAGGTAAAATAGCAGCCTTCCCATACACACACAGGTAACTGCAATTCAATTCTGTGTTCAGGACAGAGATTCATTGCAATTTACCCTGCCCTTCCTCTGATGCTTTGATAAGAATTTGGAAAAGGAGAAGATAATACCAGTGCAAAGCTCCCAACTGCATATGGTTTCCACTTTAAAACAGATGGAGGATTCAGTGTCTTTTTAAATCTATTTATTTACTAATGAGCATGTGCATAAATGTGGGTTTTAATAGTTTTCTGGCATCAGTTTGTTAATTGTGTTCACCTTCAGGTATCTCAACATCAAAGCTAAAGAATTACAGCCTTTCTAGAAGCACAGCTTCAGTTAAATAGTTGATATGTATTCTGAGTAACTAATTATGGGCTTATTGCTTTAAAAAAATGGAAGGATGACACGGGATCATCTCTTCACCTGATACTCACACAAAAAAAAACCTCTAGAGAAGAACACAGGAGCTGAGTGTTAGTGTTAAATAACAGCTCAAAGTAGTTTGCTTTGTCCCTTAATACAAATTTTCCTGGGAATTCCTTAAGGACATCTGGAAACCTTTTAGAATGCTGATTTATAAAGAAAGTCTGTCACGATTGTTTAAGCAGCACATCTCCCAGGAGAGTGGCGTATCCACCTGAGGTGCAGAGCAGGAGAGCTGTCCCGGTGGAGGCTACAACAGGGCCACCCTTCTCCTGGCAGGAAACACGACGTGTCAGGGGAGGGTCCCTCTGTACTGGAGAGAGGAGTGCCACCTACTGAGCGGCCAACAAAACAAGCGCCTAACACCAAACGGCACAGAGCTGCTGGCAGCATCACAGCCTTCTGCAGCAGGGCCTTCATTCTCCTGAAGAACAAAAGCTAAACTTTTCAGTCTGAAATGGAAGCAATTGTTTTGTATCTCTTTGGTATTTTGTTGCAAGTCAAGAGGAAAAGTTATAAAGAACCGATTTAATAGTTAAAAAAATCAATTAAAACATAGGTCATACAGTTGATACTATGATCTCTCTATATATATAATCTTTTCTCTCTTTCAGTACTCTGGATGTCTGAAAATCTCAGACAATGACTATCTGGAATCAAGCTTCTTTATCTTGGCTGTTAATTTCCAGGAAAGTGTTGGGTTTGTTTGGTGTTTTTTTTTTTTTTTTGTAGTAACTTTGCCTAGCCGTTTTTTGGTTATGGTGGTATAGTTACACAAGAGCAGCATCATGATCTCTATATCTTTTCTCTCTTTCAGTACTATGGATGTCTGAAAATCTCAGACAATGACTATCTGGAATCAAGCTTCTTTATCTTGGCTGTTAAATTCCAGGAAAGTGTTGGGTTTGTTTGGTTGTTTTTTTTTGTAGTAACTTGTCCTAGCTGTTGTTCAGTTATGGTGGTATAGTTACACAAGAGCAGCATCACTCTGACAGGACAGACACCTTCTAATGTGCCATTTTGTACCCTTCCCCCTATGATAATATATTTTCTGATCCCATTTCTCAGATTAGATATAAAATGCAAGCCACAGAAAAGAAATATCTGTCACAAATAGCCCAAACGTAAACAAATCCATATATACTTGTTTCAGTCCTGTTTCCCCCTACACAGAAAATTCAAACATATCCGTATCTGTGAAACATTTTCCATAGTCCAGCAGAGAAGATAAGTCTCTCACATTCAGACAACTGAAAATAATGCAGCTTCAGTGAGAATACTGAAAAATTAACTGTATCATGTATTAACAGTAAGGAAAGCTAAAAATGCTCATTGTAGTAATTATAAGTTGCAGCCACTGCAGACAAGTATTAAATTCATTAGGACTATAGGAAAAAAAAAAAGTTTAGAGTTGCAAGGAAAACTATAAACTTTATTTCCCCGTTTTCCAGTGTTTCATGCCAGGTAAGATTCTTGCTGAAGTTTTTGAAGTTGTCAAATCATACAGATTAGACAGAAGTTTTACTGGCTGATACAAGGTAATATTTCTGAGAAACACAACACTTAAGCCATCATAAACTTCATCAAGTTATGTGCCCTTGAATACACTTGGTTGTTCTAGCACAGGAAACAGCAGCTGCTTGTGTACGTGTTAAATTCTCTCAAGAGTAACACCATTCCTGTTCAAGGAAAGGAAAGAAACTTAGGGGCTAGATCAGCTAGAAGTGCTTCCTGTATTCAAGGTGCCAAAACTAAACAAGTGAAAATGGAGTTGTTGACAATGTAAAAATACAATGACGGAACACCTGAAAGTTCAATCAACACTTTTTCCTCCTTTTGTTTTAGGTCCAAACTTCCAAAGGACTCACTGTCAAATCCTGGAGCCAGAAAGAAAATCTGCCTCCAATTTCCGTTGTTTTGACAGAAAACAATCAGCTTGCCAGCATGCAATTTCTTTAAATGAAGGAAATTCAGGAACTAAACACAAACCCATCAGGGATGCTTTCACTTCCAGCAGAAGAAATAAGTGGATTCTCAGCAAAAGAAAACAAATAGTTCAAAAAATACACGTGGCTTCCTTGATCCCTAAGCAGCTATCATCTTGTTCTCAATCCAGAGTTAAAGTTTGTCCTGCCTTTTAGCCTGTCTCCCATTTGTGCAAGTCTCACAAGGATCAGTCTGTCAAAGTATCTGACTCTTGTCCAGGAGCTAAATCTGTCCTGAATAATTAAAAGCCTGAAGTAAGAGCCTAAACTGAGCAGAATCATCCCTACAGTAGGAATAGGACTATTATTCCTAAATGGGTAGTCAAGATCTTACACATTTGACTCTTTCATAACTTTAAACATAATTTCTAGATACTTATGACATACTGCCCTCTGGAAATACCTTCCATATTTTGCTACCACTAAGGCTGAACAAGGCCTTGTGCAAATACCTCAGGCTATGATGGGACTGAATACAGCAGTCTGCTGTACATCAGAGAATGCTTCATTCCTGACTGCAGCTGATAATGGCACAGATGAACTTCCAGTCAAGAAGCATCTGCTTGTTCACCTACTCTGAATTAGATACACAAGATATACAGGTAAGAGTAGAAATCCACATTTTATATCCAAATAACAGAAAATGGTGAGTTCATCACTAAGCATGGCAAATGTCCGGAAGAAAAGGGACAAAGTATGATCCACACTCCAAATCAACCTACTCTAGGTTGTTCTTTTTTTACATATTCATTGTGGCAAAAATTATTTTCTCAATTATGTAAAATACATTGTGAGATAATATAAGCTGTTAGAGAGGATTAGAGTGATTATCTAGTTGGATACTTGGAAAACTGATCATCATGATGCAGCTGAATTTCTACTTGATGTTACTTATACCTCTAGAGATCTTGAAAATTACAGGAGGGGTAATGTGGGGGTAGCAGAAGAATGCAAAGTAATCCTTCTGTCCCGACTTGCAGAAGAAAGGCACTGAGTGAGCAGGAGCTGCAGAGGTGTTCCACTGTGCATACAAGGTAGCTGAGGATTAAGTTCTGCACACACTGCTGAGAGGTTTGAGGTGGAGCATCACCAGTGCAGCCAGGCTGGATCCTGGGGGCAGCAGAATCCAGCCCTGCCTGCGCACATCAGGATCCACGGAGCAGTCTGTGCACAGGCTCACAGCAGAAGGATTTGTTTCAGGTTCATGACATGTAGTATCTTGACATTCTGATGACATTTGTGCTGTATGTTTAAACTGCCTCGGATGCATTCAGGGACAACACAGGGAAAAGTTTGCCACCTCTGAAGATCAAGGACTGGCACTGTAAGGTAAGTTTTAATTTGCAAAATCTCTACCCATTCAGAAGACATACAGCTTTCAGAAGGTAAGATGTTAAGGAACAATGGGTGGTACCTGCCAACAGGCACTGAATACCCCACCCAAGCCTCTGCCAGCAGGAGATCACAGCCATTAAAACAGAAGGCAAAAAATTCATTGAAGTTAACTTTATTCCAAAATATGTATAATTTACAGGACTAAATAAGTGCTTCATTTGTGAACAGAACATTTCAGTACTTGTGAATAACTTACTAGTAGCTTTGTGTAACACTCCAGTTTCCAACAGAGGGAAATATGAAACAGTATTTTGGCACAAGGTTTTCTCTGCATGCATTAATATACTTAAAAAGTTTCACAATTACTAGGGCAACATTCCTTCTTTGGGATTGTCACTCGTAAAATAGGTCTAAGAAATGAGTGCTTTTGTGTGCTCATTGCAAGCTTACAGCTTAAAAAGCAAGAATTAAACATGGACATCATTTGAAAACTAAATATGTCCACTAAATCAAAATCCCACCAGTGATGAGAAGAAAAAATATTTTAAGGACATTCCTCAGCCTTATCGAGATTAACTCACACATGCTTTGGGGAAAGACTCACCCATGAGAGTTGTTACTCACCCATTCCAAATAATTACAAGTTTAAATGAGATAATAACAAGGTGTTAAATTCTGTAAGCTGAAAAAAATATGGCTTTCAGATCTGGCTTTATAATAGATGCACTTGCAAGTATCTGTAGAGAGAAGTACTGTCAATCTAGCTCTGCATGCAAGTACTTGAAGCATGCATGTAAAGCATTTGTTGTGAAATACACAGTTTACATCATCACAAGTCATCTATTATATTCCATTGCTAGTTATGTTGAAGATAGTGCTGTAAAGCCATCACATGAAAAAGAACCAGAAGCAAAGGGCTTCTGTTATTTAATTCAGCAGTTCCTTCAGGAGTTTCCCCCATTTCAGGCCGTCGGATGACATTGTCAGTGAAGTGGAAGAGTCACACACACAAACAGCCTCAACCTGACTGCAAGGCAATGCAGAGTTGAACAATGTTGTTCCTTGAGTCTGTTCATTGCATAGCAATGGCATTTGAAACAAAACTCAGTCATGCTCTAAGCAGCAAATCCTTCTAGTACACATTTAAATTCACAGCAACTGTTAAAAGAAAAGCAAAACCAAACAACCAAAGAAACAGCAGATGCATGTCTGCACCACGCACTGAAGCTTTTTCCCACTGAACAACCCTACCCTCGTAGTGTGCATATAAAGCTATTCATGGAAGTCTGTTCACAGTGGCCTGTCCTGCAAGAACGCAACCATAGCAGCACCTGAAACCAGACATGGAGGAAAAAGCTTGCGAGGCCCAGGATGTAAACAACGTTTTGGTGTGAATGTATTTGGAACAGTAAATTGTACATGAAGATCATGTTTAAAAACCCAACACATCAGAAACATTAAAGCAAAAGAAGCTGTACAACCTTAATGACAAAGGCAAGTACATTTGGTTCACCTCCGAGTTGTCGTTTCAGTAACATATTCTTGTACAAGTTGAGAACCCTACGTTGATTCAGTATCTATTGACTTACTCTATATTTGAAAAGCTATTAAAAAAACCCTAACACCCTAAGATTCCAATCCTACCAACACTTACATCTCTACCCAGCCTCCAAAAAAAAAAAAAATCAATTCAGAACTGACTAAGCACGTGGGCATGTGTTAGCAGGATAAGGATTTCAAACAGTGGAAGGTAGTCATCTCTGTTCTACTGCCTCTACACAGTCAAGGTACATCTGACTAACAGGGAAATTCAGCCTCTTGTTTTCCACAGGAAAAAAAAATAAACTGTAAAGACTGTTAGTTACATACATTAAGTTACTGACACCGACCGAATTGCTCAAAACTAGATGAGGTCTCACAAGGCTTGTTTTACAGCTGTTTAGTTTACAGCTGCAAGTATGTATTTTGGTTTTTAAGATTTCCAGTCCTATGGAAGTGACCATTTTCTAGACACAAGCAGCTTTGCATAGCTGAGAATACACAGCATTAGTAAACACTGACTTTAAACTACCTATTTCTCAAGGCTGATATGAAGAGCAGGGGGAGGATGCCCTGCCTAGCCAAAGCAGAAAGAACTATTTACAGGTGTAGTAACAGAAATGCAAATAAAGCCAAGAATAAAAGAAACATCTACCTAGTGTCATACAGACTTCTAGCACTGTGACAAACATGGAAGGCAACAAGACAGACCTCTAATTTTTCAGCTGTTTGGTGCTTACGTTCTCATAGAACCCATGTCCCAAATTCGCTTTGTTTAATTTGATTTTTTTAAACACTAGAGAGAAGCTCAAGTGAAGCTACCAAACTACTAATGCAGTTTTAGAGTAGCATTACACAGGCATCCAGCTCAAGACCCAACAATCACAGCAAAAGAGAATTAAGCAGGAAATGCAGAGCAAGTACAAGTAACATTTAGTATCACTTCCAGCTAAAAATGTGTGCTCAGAGTACACAGAAACTGATGTTACTTTTTATAGCAGGTCAAATGGCAGCAGAGGATACAAAGAGAATAAGCAAAGTAGGCAGTCACTGCTGACCAATACTTACAATAGGGACAGTGCCTTGAAAATCAAATCAGAGACAAACTGCAGAAAAAGGGAGATAAATACCATTTTAGTACTACCAAGAAATAGCTCTGACTAAAGTTTATTTTTAAAACAATGGCCAAAATAGAAAGTTAGATTTGTTCAAATTTGAAAAATGTGTGATACTCAGCAACAGTATTTCAGATCAGGTTTCATTTGGTTTACTGTGGGATTCAGCAGACTGTGAAGTCTGGCAGCAGTCTTCATGTTTGCACTGAAATATTTAATAAATCCAAACTGAGTGACATACGCCAGCAACATCAGATCCAAATCTGTTTCTGACTTTTCTAATTTATGGAGAAGCAAATTTGTGAAGAAAGAAGTTAATTTTGATCAGAATGTGCCACTTCCCTATGACAATGCAGACATATTTAATCATTTCTTAATACTATGCTTTCAATAAATAGCTTCATGTTGTAATACTGTGTTTGCCTAATTAAACCTCAAACTATTTTAAACCCATAGGATGAGACAAGGGCATGGTATTTGCACATGCTAATAAACCACACAAAGCTCATCAATACTTTTAATTACAAAGTACAAGAAATGAGTAACAGTTACATGGAAGGTTTGTGTGGACACAATCTTACATTTTTTTCTGATAGTCACTGATGTTAAAAGCTTTGGCTCATGCTATAAGAACATGGCAATTCTCATTCTGATCTGTAAATTAGTTTTGAAGTTCTTTAAATGCTAGCTCGTCTCACAGATGTCTAAAATTCAAAGCTTTCTGTAATTCTGCTCCTTATCACCTAGGATTCCCTCCCTTGCAGAAAGAAGACTTTCTGAATTCAGAGGTAATGAACTGTTTCACCCTTCTGCATTTTACATCTGTGGAAAATGCAGTTTTCCACAACCTGATTTATATTTATAGTAACTGCTTCTCTTTCATGCATCAGTACAGATGACTTGCACATGGGAAACACAGAAACTTATGTCTGAAGAAATGTTCTCTGGTGCTTTAGCCAGAGGGAAGAAAGAAGGAAGAACACTTCAGCACCTGTAGATGCAATATTTCTAGTGAAGTACTGCAAAAAACTAACCTAATTTTGTCATTTTTCTTACTTCCCAGTTTCCAAGTAGGCAGGTAAATATGAATCAGTTGTATTTTCAGAAGAAACAGAGTTAGAAGCAACACCTGCCTTTCTTTAGTATGTCCCACTTTTAAGGTCAGATCTCTAGGCATTGTGAAAGTGGGGGGACTTTCTCCAAAGCAAAATTAGGGTACCCCTGGGGGGCACAGCAAGATTCCTTTCTGCAGTTTCTTCAGCCAAAGACTGGAAGTGTCTGAACACACACCTAGAACTGCTGAAAACTTAAACAGGCAACACAGCTCTAGTTCCAGGAGTTTTTCAGTAGGAAAATACACGTTCTGGGGTTAATCTAAGGAGATTATTACCTGTTAAAGCAGAGCTATTTATCATATTAGTGGCATATGGCAATTTAAGGAGTAGTAGGAAGAAAGGACAAAAAAAAAAACCAGATAGAAAACTATTGCTCATTTTCACCAAAACAAACTAGCTGCAGTGGATGAGTAACTTAACTCCCACAGCCTGGAGGTGAGGATATGAAGCACAAAGCACAGCAAGTCTTCAGAAACTAAGGCTTGGATGCACATTTAGTGCTGGGCTGCCTGCTGAAACCCTGGCTAAACCCGCAGCCACTAGCTCTCCTGTCACAATGGGTCAGTGAAGTCTGTAACAGGCCCAGGAACTTGACACAAAGACACTCTTTTCATTAAAGCTAACAGAAGCTAAAACCTGTCAAGGACACCACCAGAGTCCTACATTTTGCAGGTATTATAGTAGAAGATAAAAATTAGTTAAGGCCAAATTCCAACATACATTCACAACTGACTTTTTTTTCCACACAAATAAAAAAAAATCCTAGCAGTGGTACGAGGGGCAATATGATCATTAAAAAAAATTCAAAGAGGTCACATTTCTTCTCTGAAAAAATCATTTTGTCTGAATTTGACTGCACTCAGAAAAACTCTCTAAAACCTGCAAATCCACGAGCAAATGCAAAATACAGCTGTTCTAAAGGGCTTCTGTGAGCTGATCTCCCAGCTCCATTGCACTGATTCCAGTTGTTTCTGGAAGCAGGAAGTCCAAAACCAGGATTCCAGGTGATTATTTTAGAGAATTTAATTTCATATTTCTAAAAATTTCTCTTAAAGTAATAAAAGTATAAACCACTGTAACACTTCTCAACTTGTATCTTAATAAAGCTAGAAGAATTTCAGCAAAACCAAATCATTCCAGTCTTTGAGGCACACACACTGTACATTTGCATCTTACAGACAGAAATAATTTAAGCAAATCCCTCATGAAGACTCTAAAAACGTTAGTCCCGTTTATTACACCAGCTACAAGGACAACATACCAATTTTCCC